GCTATATCTTCTGTTCCACTGCCCTTGGTCGTTTGCAGCTCCAAATATTTTGCGGAGTGTTTTACGCTCGAATATTCATAAGACTTTCATCCTTCTGTGCTAGAGTCCATGTTTCTGCGTCATATGTAAGCACCAGCCTCAGCAGTGTTTTGTATATAATAACTTTAGTCCTTCTTTGGATGTTTCTTTAGTAGAATTGTTTTTGAAGTCCATAGTATGCCCTATTTGTAAGGGTAGTAAGTTGATAGTAGTCACCAACAGCTAAGTTATGTGAAGCTATCAAGTATTTGGATTTGTCTTCGTTGATGACCAGACCAGCCTGTTCCGCTGCCGTTTTCAATGCTAGGAAATATTGCTCAACATCTCGCTTGCTACCTAAGCAAGCCAGGGTATCTGGTTGTCTAAAAGCTCTAGAAGTTTCTCTCTCTATGCTAACACTTGCTTTTAAGTTAGATTTTGTTATTCTCGTTAATCGGATAAGTTTTTCTGGTACACCAAACTCGCGCATTGATTCAGTCGCATTGATTGGTATAGTACTGCTTTCTTAACACTATAGTACGCGGTTTTGAAGTCAACGAAGAGGTGATGGTTTCAATCTGTCCATTCCAATATTTTCTGAAGGATCTATCTTATTGAATGAATCTGGTTAATTATTGATTTTTTGAATTAAATCCAGCCTGGTATTTTTCTATTATACCCACGATGTAAACTTGTAGCGTTTCATATGGGATATTTGCTAATATTTTGTAAACAGTTTGTAGACCTCTGCAGTTGTCACACTGCTGGTCGCCTTTTTTATGTAACGGGAATATCACATCTTGAGACCGTTCACAGGGCATGGTCTCATTTTTCCAGACAAGAAATAAAATTTGATCAATTCCTGGTAATTTATTATTCTTTTACTTTTTAATAGCTTTTGCAACTTTCTCAACGGTAATGGTCGTTCGTTTGGGTTGAAAAGATTCCAATCCTTTTGATCTACTAGGATGTTATCTGCTTCTTCGATAATGGTCATTAAATTTTTCGTCTAAAAATTCAACCCATCTGTTCAAGCTTAAGGCCCCATTATTTATATTTCCCTCTCCATCCTTACATCTCCTTATTTTTGGCTTTTTTCTTCCATGTAATATTTTTCCTTCTCTTCTTAGGGTCCTGCATTTCACCTTTGCCCTTTTTGTACATCCTGCTTGATTTGTCGATGTGCTCTAAATATTTTTTATCTGGTGCTTCTTGGCACTGCTTGTAAAAAAATCATTTATTAACTTGTTTGGTTTTCCCCAATATTTCCATTGCCAGATAATATGTTTGTACATTTTGTTCAAAACGCATCCACGTATTTATCTCAATACCCTATTTTTTTTTTTGTTTGCTGCATGAAACGAAATTGTCTCAGTATCATTCCTTGTGGATATTCTTTAACATGTTGGTCTCCAATAAACGGTGTACGCTGTGTCTAGCGTTTACGCAATACATCGCATCTGTATTCTTTATATAATAAATAATGGATTTGGTCTTTTATTGTAGGCTGAACGCAGCATGCAACTGCATGTATGGCGTAACGTTATACGCTGCATACAGCGTTTACTGGAGACTAGCTCCTATTCGTTATTTAAACATTGTACGAATAATCTATAAATTTTATCACCAAAAGATATTTTCATCATCATCTTTGGCTCTACAACCCTGGGTGGGTCTTGGCCTGTTCAAGAATTAGTCTCCATTCCCCCCTATCTTTCGCCCTGACTTTCCAATTTCTGACGACCCCTAGATTCCTCAAGTCATCTTCGACTTGAGTTTTAAATCTGGAACTTCGCCTGCCTCTCTTCCTGGTTCCTACTGGTTCTTGATGTAATATCTGTATTTGGGGGTCTCCAGTGTCCATTCTTTCAAGGTGTCCTAGCCACCTTAGTCTATTAATTTTAATAGACCGGACGATGTTGCATTTTTTATAGCATTGATACAACTCAAAATTGTAGCGCCTGCGCCATATCCCTCTTTCTTGTACTCCCCCGTATATGTATCTTAGTATTCTTCTTTCAAAGTGGCCTAACAGTTCTTCGTTGCTTTTTACCATAGTGCATGTCTCTGATGCTTATGTCAGGACAGGTTTAATATGAGTTTCATATATTAGTATCTTGGTTTTTCTGCTAATTGTGTGTGATGTTAAGAATTGCTTTAGTCCAAAGTAAGCTCTGTTCGTTCTCTATGGCTCTTTCTAGCGCGATGTTAAACAATAGGCACGATAGACTGTCTCTCTGGCGTAATCCAGTATGTGTTTGAAAATACCTTGACACTCTGTTTTGTACCTTGACTTTGCACTCAACTTTAGGAAGAGTTGCCTTTTTTGCCAAAAGAAATTTTAGTATGTACTTTTCACGTTCCAATAATCGTCATCGTCATAATTCCTCAGAATCTCAAGTACTGCATTCCTGGGTAGATGCTTATCCTCTTCATCATTCGATGTATTTCACCAACTTTTTTTATGACGTCTCTCTATCGTGCTTTTGATCTGCCTCTTTTTCTTTTGCTTGTTGTATCCTCCAATTTTTCTATGTTGGTTTCTGTAAAAGACCAGATTTCGGAAGCGGAAATCGCAGTGGAGAGAAAGCATTGTGTAAATACTTTTTATTTTAATTGGAAAGGGCCAAAGACTTTGGCCGATCGTGAAAATTGTAATCTTTGCTTGATTTCCTCTATTTGTATTGGTACTTTTAGCGAGTTTTGCCTTTTTGTCAGTGACCATTCCTTCCAGTTTATTAATGTTATCATCCTTTTCATCAGTGGCGGCTTTTCTTTATGTGCTGCTGAGCTGCAGAACTACCAAACAACCATAGCAAATCTTAATTATTAAAGAATAATTAATATAGTTTTATTTCAAATCTGCCATATTATCATATTAAACATAAACTGTTAATAATAATTCACCAACAACGATGATTAATATTATTTTTTTTACGTATTTACTCCTCTAGTGAAACCGTATAATTTTTTTACGTATTTGGTGCTCCAGTGAAGCAATCTTTTTACGTATTTGCTGCTCCAGTGAAGCCGCGTCGATATCAACCGAAACACTGGCAGCGGTAAAATGCATTTATTAGCAGTGTTGCCAATGCAAAACTAGAAATTATCCGAATGTTGGGAGCAAAATATCCGAAATTATCCGAATGTTAGAAACCAAATATCCGAAATTATCTGAGTTCATAAAAATCGAAAAAGAAGACTAATTCAATGGCATAATTGACATTGACAGTTGACAGTGACACATCGGTAGATGACAAATGACAATTAATATGACAAATGATAACAAGAAAACAAGTTTAGTTTGATAGAAATATATTTATTTAAATAAAAAACAACAAATAATACATAAATACAGCAAATTAACAAATTATTAACTCTTAAAGCCTATATTAAAAATACTTATTGTTTACATACATAATCGGCAAAGTATAGAGAGAGAGAAAGTGCCACAGGGGAATTACTTGACTGCTTCGACCTTTTAGACTTGGATTGAAATGAAATTCGATTTTTGTTTTGTCAATTTCAAAGATCGCTGGATTTTTGTTCAGTAAAACAGTCAACCAAAACTATACTATTTATCAATAGAGGGTGCTGAAATAACTCATAGGTTCCATCATCTTCGATTATATGAGAATAGAATTTGCAGTTCTATGTACATTCGCAAATTTAGCTATTTAAGCTTATAAAAATTTAAATTATATTTAAAAATAAAAAGTCGATAGACCCTTGAATTATCCGAAATTATCCAAAAAATTGTTCAATCCGAAAATTATCCGATGGTCCACGAAATTATCCGAAAATCGGATAATTATCCGGACATTGGCAACACAGTTTATTAGGCAAACGGCGATCTTAGCCGATGTGCTTCGGCAATCGGCTGATTAACGGCCTCGGAAATGTGTTTGCGAGCTGCAATTCACGACAGTTATTCGTGACCGTTGCATCTGTGCCAGAGAACTACGAACGCAGAGAAGCGACACTCCTTTCATCTTGCGTGGGCAAGCCGCCAACGAGTGAAAATGACAGGAAAGCACCTTATTTTTTAATAGTCAGTGGGCATATTACACAATATAAATTCTTAAATAAAATTTAGCATTTATGTTGACTTTCAATAAATATGAAATATTGCACATGAAATATATTTGTATTTATAAATAATACTTCATTACTTACAACTATAAGAGTATTAGTATATTCGAAGTGTATTGTAAATAATGAAGTATTTAACTTTTGTCAATATCTCATCTTAATAAATTTACAGTTTTCTCCTGATTAAGTCACAAAATTGTCACTAAATATTGAGATATACAATAAATAAAGTTTTAATATTTTTTATTTGTAATTCCCATTTAAATATTTATTCCCTAAATATGTTGTGTACTCCGATCCATATATTTGATCTTTGTTATTTATATGTAACGAATTAAACATTGACAGACAACTTTTGTATATAGCAAAAAGTAGATGAGCATTTAGTTTTTTCATAATTTAATGTAAGTTTGTTTGGTGAAAAAGACAGCAAATATTTGAAGTTATGTTAATGTAAGTTTGTTTATTTGCAATCATGTTTTTATTTTGAAGTCTTGTTCTGTTATAATTTTAAGATTTTCCCAATTTTCGATCTAATTATGTCTCCAACAATTTTTAGTTTGAGCATTTTAGGAATTTCTTTGTTTCGTTTAAATCAAATATTCTCGTGTATAAAACCCTCTATATATTTTTATTTCCTAAAAATACTATATTCGTATTGTTGTCTGCGAGCGCTTTCACACCAGTAGGCCAACATCTGTGTTGATTTTTTGACCTGAGCCTTCGGAGACAATAAATTTAATGTGTGTTCGTAATTCTCTGGTTTTTATTAATAATTAATAAATAATAAATAATTGACTGTATAAAATTCTGTGGGGCTTTTGAGCTCGCCTTACGAGGACACGATGAATCTGAAACATCAGATAACCCTGGAATTTTTCGTGGTTTAGTGAATTTTTCTGCTGAACTTGATAAAACACTTAGTGAACACCTTACAAATGCGACAATTTTCAAAGGTACCTCAAAAACAATACAAAATGATATTTTGGATTGCATGCTAGAAGTATACGCTGAGGAGATTTTAAACGAAATCAATGAAGCCCCATTTTTAGCAGTGATAGCTGATGAGACAACGGATGTTTCTATGAAATTTCAAATGGTCATTGTTTTTCGTTATGTAAAAAACGGTGCTCCAGTTGAAAGGTTTTGGACTTTTTTGCTTCCAGAAAAACATGATGCTGAAACCTTAGCTAACACAATTTTGAATGTTTTAGACCCAATATTAAAGAATAACAAAAATAAGCTCATTGCACAAAGTTATGACGGAGCAGCTGTTATGAGTGGGATACATGGCGGAGTGCAAACAATAATTAAGAGAAAATATGAAACTGCTCATTTTGTGCACTGTTACGCCCATCAATTGAATCTAAAAGGTGCAGTGCCTTTACTAAAATTTATAATTTCTAATAATTTAGAGGACACATTAACAGAAACCAAAAAGTTGATACAAATTCTGGTGACTACGCCAATGACCACAGCAGAAGCTGAACGTAGTTTTTCAACTTTAAAACGGATCAAAACATTTTTAAGAAATTCAATGTGCGAAGACAGATTAACAGCCCTTTCCACACTCTCGATAGAAAAAAAGTTCATCGCTTCAATACCGAACTTTAACGATAAAGTAATCGAAAAGTTTGCGACAAAAAAGGACCGGCGTATTAATTTCCAATTTAGAAAAATGCAATAAATGTAAGTTAATCAGATTTTTATAGCATGTCGTTATTAGTTACTATTAATTAGTATTAAAGCTAATTTTATTGTTTTTGTTTTCGTATGTTATTCTATTTCTATTATTTTATATTGACCGTGGTTCATGCAGCACACCCTATAGCAGATGTCACGAGCCGCCACTGCTTTTCATCATTGATCATTCTTCTGTCCCCTATTATTATGCTTAACTGGCTGATTATTATCATATCGACGTTGAAAATGCCATAATCGTCTTAACATAAAATATGCTCTCTCATTTTGGTATTCATTGGTGTTATTACTAGACTTCCTCTATATTTTTATTATTAATTTTAATTTTAATTTTGTCATTTTTTGTCACTCCACTCGTCCATCTATTTCTCATAAGCGTTCTCATGTTTGCCACACTCATTCCTTGTTCATATCTTTTATTTTCATATACATAGCAATTGTTGATATTTTTCCTTTATTTTCTATTTTAAAGTCTTCCAATAGGTTCAAGAATAATTTTGGGGATAGTAGGTCTACTAGTCTAACACTTTTTTTTGATTTCATTCGATTTTGTGACAGCAAATAGATTAATTTTTATAGTAGCGTTTTTGTTCATGCCTTTAATTGCCTGAATGTACTGATAGTCTATTCAACTTTGCTTTAGATATTTTATTAATGCCAATGCTCCCACTGGGCACTAATATCTTCTTCTTCTTCCTCTTTATAAGCAATTCTGCTTGTTCATTGGCGGATTAATACCTCCATGGAAGGTTGACACTTCATCTTTTGCGCGGTCGTCCGATACTTCTTTTGCCTATTGGTGACTTATCTCTTGCTATTTTGACCACACGGGTCCCCTCCATTCTGCTTATGTGATTATTCGATTTTTTCTATTTTGTGTCCATTCATTTATACACTGTACGTTAAATTGTCTTCTAATGTCTTCACTTCTCTTTCAATCTCTCAGCGTATTTCCTGTAATTCTTCTCAGCACTCTCATCTCGGCCGTTTCCAAGCCTTTGCGTTGTAGCTGTGTCGGGTCTTGTATCTGATGCATATGTCATTTGGTCTTACACTGACTTTATAAATTCTTGATTCCATCTCAGTGTTAATGTGTCTGTGTCGCCATATAAGTAGTGTTATTAAGGTATCCTGCCAGTCTATTTGCTTTTTGTACTTGATCTCTCACTTCTTTGTCCAGGTCTCCACAGCTAGACAGTGCAATTCCCAGGTATTTTATTTCCATTACTTGTTTAATACTGATGCAATCAATTTCTATTTTACATTTGGTTGGTTCTTTGCTGACTACTGTTGTTTTAGTTTTCTGAGATGAGAATGTCATATTAAATTCTTTTGCTCTTATGTCAAATCTGTGGACTCTTGGGCTATCAATATTGCGTCGTTTGCGTAACAGAGTATTTTGATTTCTTTGTTTCCCATTCTGTATGCCTTTCCTTTGTTAAAGCTTTTGATGATTTCATCCATGATGACATTGAAGAGCATGGGGCTCACTGAATTCCCTTGTCTTATTCCGCTGCCTATTTCTATAGGTTCTGTAAGATGTCCATCTATTCTGACTTCCATTTTGTTGTTTTGGTAGATGTTTTCGATAGTTTTTATAATATTTAGGGGAGCTTCTCTATTATACAGCAGATGTATTACATATTTGAGTCTTACTGTGTCAAACGCTTTCTTTGGGTCAATCAGACACAGGAATGCTCGTCTATTATTATACTCTAGTAACTTCTCAGTAAATTGCTTTATAACGAATATTGCATCTATACACGATGTTCCACTACGAAAATCCTGTTGTTCATCTGCTAAACTTTTCCTCTGATTTATTAGCAATTGTAAAATTTTAGTTGTAAAGTTTTAACGTAGTATTTAACAAGTTTATACCTCTGTAGTTTTATGGCTGTTTTTTATCTTATTTTTTGAACAGTAGAATTGGTTCGCTCGTTCTTTATTCTTTCGGTATTTTATTGTGTTTTATAATTTCATTAATTAACGCTGTTAATTGTTCTGTCATAGCCCAAAAAAATCTCACAAATCATTCATTTAATCATTCGACTAGAAATATTCTTATAAGTATTTATATAAATGCAAACAATGATTAAAAATGTTTAATTAAACTTATAAAATGTCAATGTAACGATAAAAGTCAAGGTCAAAGTATTTGTTTATATAACTATTCAATCCTGATAATGAAAATATTGGACAATTTGTCTATGGGTCATCGCTGGATATGCACTTGTATATGTTTGTTTTCCTTCTGCTTTTTAATATGCAGTGGAATTTACAAATTGTATTGCTGTTTACATGGATCTTTAAAAGAACACTATAATAACAAAAATACGCCAGAAGAAGTAAATTTATAGATTATAAACGAAACGTTTGATGTGTAAGCTGTAAAACCAGCACAAGCAATAACTAAAATGTTAAGAAACAAAGAAATTATTACATTAAAGAAACAATTACAAAAAGGAAGAAGATTTGCTATATTCAGTTGATATTCCCAGAGAAAGTACCCAGTAATAAGTTATGATTTAGCAGGGAAACAACACATGCATTTTTTATTATGTTACAACTGCTGAACAATATAAAAAAAAGAGATCTGCAGGAGTCTACTATTCTTCTTCTTTTACGGCACTACAGCCCAAGTTGAGTCTTGGCCTCCTTTATTTTTTGCCTCCACCCTTGCTTGTGTGTAGCTGATCTTCACCATACACGAACTACTAACAGGGCTTGTGCGTCGCTGTTTACTGTGTCTTCCTCCCAGCGCTTTCTTGGTCTTTCCAACCGGTCTCTTTCCCTGCATTCTAGCATTCAGTGCTCTTTCCGGTAACCTATCCTCTCTCATTCTTATCACATGTCCGTCCCATTGCAACCTTTCTATTCTAATGAAGTCTGACGGTGGTGCTTCCTTATAAAGTTGATAAAGCTCGTTGTTGTATCGACTGAAGATTACGTTTTCCCTCACAGGTCCCAGTATCTCCTCAGTACTTTGCTTTCGAATGTGTCGAGTTTGCTTTTGGGTGTTTCTTTCAGAACCCATGCTTCACTGCCATAGAATGCTATTGGCCGAATTTAGGTTTTATAGATTCTCATCTTTGTATTTCGGTGGTCATTTTTAGAACGAAATATATGGGAGAGTGCAAAATAAGTTCTGTTTGCTTGCGTTATTCTCTTCCGTATTTCTTCATCTTCTCATCCGTCGGCATATATTTCTACTCCCAGGTATGTAAAGTTTCCAACCGTTTCAATGTCATCTTCATGTATAATGTTTTGTGGGACTATATTTCTTCTCGTCTGTATCATTTTTTTTGTTTTTTTCTGTGTTATTTCCAGACCTAGTCTTTTTGTTTGCATTTTTAACTCTGCGTATGTTTCCTGTGCTCTGATTTATGTTCTACTCATAATATTAATATCATCGACATAAGCGGCCAGTTAAAGCATTCGGTTGGTCAGTAGGTTTCCTCATCTATTTTGCATTTACCTAACCGTATACTCCAGTGCCAGGTTAAACAAAGTTGGGACCAGCCCATCTCCCTTCTTTAGTATCTGCTTGAGTTTCATCCAGTGTGGTTTTAATGAGTCTACTTAGCTTGTGTGGTATTGCCAATTGAGCTAATATATTGTAGAGTTTGTTTGTTTTGATGAATCGTATGCCTGTTTGAAGTCTACAAACACGTTGTGAACATCAATGTCATGTTCCCATGATTTACTCAAGATCTGTTTGACTGTAAATATTTGATCCAGTATTGATCTTCCCCTTTGGAAGCCCGTCTGATACTCTCCAATAATATTTTCTGCTAGTGGTTGGAGCCGCTGGTTTTTAATATACGTGAGGACTTTATATACTGTAAGTTCTTTCAGTCATCGGGTATTTTCTCTTCTTACCATATGTCTTTGATGAGTGCGTGGATGTGACTTGCTAGGTGGTTCCTCTATTGCTTGTCTGCACTCGTCATTAAACCATGCTTGTCTTCTCGCCTTTTTCTTGTTTCCCAGGGTGGAACCTACCACTGCTGCTGTTTTGATATTATTTCTTTTTGCTCTCTATAGAGTGCAGTTCTAGCGTCCTTAACTCTTTTGCGACTTCTTCTTCCTACTTCTCTTTACATTCCTGAATCTTCAGTTTTTACAGGTCCAGTTTGTTTATTCTTTGTCTTTCGTTTCTTTCTTTGTTAACTCTGCATCTAAATTTGGTTTGGAGTAAAACATGGTCTGATCCTCGCAAGCTCCTCTTCGTGTTCACAAATCTGAGATATTACTGGCTGCCCTTTTGTCTATCAGCACATGGTCAATTTGATTGGTTCTCTACTATTGGTAGTCTACTATTCATGTATCCTAAAAAAGCACACTATATAATATTCCGCGAAGTTTTTTTGTGAATAGGAAAGAAATTGGCGGAGTAGACAATGAGAATTAACTATACATGGTTATTACATACACTGTAGTTACATGTAAAATTAAAATGATTGTTTTGCTTAAAATTATGCTTTTATGTTCGACATTTACAATACTTTTTCTATTATCTTTTTCAAAGTAAATTAAAATTATAAATCAAAGAGCAATACCCAATACACCCAAATACATGTAACAAAATAGCTATAACTAGGTATACTATTATCGTGTAACACCTCCAGAGCAAACCTTGTCACAAATTGCACCACGTTAACGCAAATGATTGGTCTTTAGGCAGCCCTTGGCATGTCAACATCATGTCAAACAACTCAGCCCTCTCCGTCCTCGGCGAGGCAACCCGCCTCGTGCCGGCCAACTCACCCGCTGTCTTCGAGATAATCACACCCTCTTCCACTCCGCCATCTGACCTTCGTGTGCACGTTGTAGCCCCTTCGAAACGCGTAGTCCCAGCCCGGGTAATTCCCGGCAACAGACTCGGGGTGCACAGTGTGGAATTTGTACCTACAGAGATCGGTACACACTTAATCGACGTGTCTGTTGATGGAGAAAAACTGCCATCGGGGCCTCTTATGGCTAAAGTTTATGATGCTGGGCTCATTCAAGTGGCGGATGTTGGAGGAGGGGTTGTTGGACAACCTGTACAATTTAGAGGTAAGTAAAGGTTTAATATTTTATGACATATCAACTTAATAAATTATTGGAATGTTTTTTCTACATACATATAGTGGAAATATGAAATTAACTTGTCCTACTAATAGTAATTTGTCCTTGAAAACCTTAAAAGAATATACAATAGAACAAATTTCAGTATTTACAGTAATTGACAAGCCTATCATACTAGTTAAAACGCAATTTTATGTTTACTGCTTTGTTTTCATCAACGTGCTCCTCCTTTTCGTTAATAATAAGTGGTAAATTTTTTCGCTTTCGTATCACTGGCCATTCTTAAAATCGAGTTGGCGGTAATTTAAAAGACCTCATTGCATGTATTAGGTCTTGGGTACTTTAAAACTTTTTAACGATTTTATATGGTACAAAACCTCAGTGTTTAACTCTACTTGGATCATTTGACTGGTCTCACCAAGACTGGCAAGTCAAATCTATGTTACAGTCAACTGTAGAAAAATTGTTCGATAATCACGTCACTTAATGCAACCATATTTTTTACTATACTGTAGATTCGTCGTTTAATGTTCTAGCTATGACACTACAGTGTTCTCTCTATCTCTAGCTGCTGCAATCCAGTTTGTTTCTATTCTCTTTAGGTCGTCGGTCCATCGGGTGGGTGGTCTGCCTCGACTTCGCTTGTCGGCTCTTGGTCTCCACTCCAATAATCTCTTCGTCCATCTTCCGTCTTCCATTCTAGCAACATGTCCAGCCCACCTCCACTTTTGTTTATTGATTCGCAGTATAATATCGTCTACGCCAGTTCGTCGGCGTATCTCCTCATTTCTTACGCGATCTTTCAAGGTCAGGCCCAGCATTGATCTCTCCATTCGCCTTTGTGTTACCCTCAGTTTTTCGGCAGTAGCTTTCGTTAAAGTTAAGGTCTCTGCTCCGTAGGTCAAGACTGGTAAGATGCATTGGTTAAATGCCTTCCTTTTCAGGTGAATTGGGATATTTGTTTTAAAAATGTCTCTCATCCGTCCATATGCCGCCCATCCCAACGTGATTCGTCTATTTAGCTCGCAGGTTTGGTTGTCTCTGGTTATTCTAATTTCATGACCCAAGTATGTGTATTTATCGATTAATTCTACCTTGTTGTTATTGATCTGTATCTCTTCGCTGGGAACCATATTGGTCATCATTTTGGTTTTCTCAAAATTTATCTCCAGCCCAGTTTCTTGTACAGTGTTATCTGCCAATTAATTTATTTTTCATTGGACGCCAAAATTAATCTTTCAAGTGATATTTAACCAATGGAAAAAACTGAGTTTGGAGTGGTGCTAAATACTTTCTTGTGAAAGACTTAACACCAACTGAAATCAAAGTTATTGAGAGCATTGCTTCTGCTAAGAAATGATAACATCGAACTTTGTCTCGGATAGTTGTTTGGGTGTTACTAAGGGCGGATGTTTGGACTTTAGTTTTTGCAGCTCAAGGGGTCTAATATCATTATGAACTGTAGTTGGGGGTATCTGGTGAGTTTTCATATTACTTCCTAAGAACATATTTTCTTCGAAGATCTGGTGGAGTGGTATGGCTTACGATAGGCAGCCAGTAAGTAGAGGTAGACCTGATCGTGCCGGTGATAATCCGTATGATGTTGATTAATTGTACCTACATGTTTTGGTGTGAATGTTGTTTGATTAAACAGGAGTGGCACACCCAGCTGCTGAAAAGACCAAACTCACTATAGATATTTGCAGAGTTTTGGCTGAAGCTCCTCATGTAGAAGCACATCCCTTGTGAAGGATATAGCTTCTAGTTCCAATTTCACCAGAAACTTTTCTTTAATGTTCTGTTTAATCTGGCACCATGTACCTTAAGAATTTGTTTAGAGCATTACGTTGGTTTTTGAAGGTCACACTGAGTTCTTTTCTTGCCTTATTGTTAATCAGATAGAAACAGCATGCCTATCTTGCATTTAGCTGCAGTTTCCATTTACGAAAGTAACTGGAAGGTTCTAAGGTCAGCTTAGGCGTCTTTAAAATTTTGGTGTTGGGTGGCTATTGTCCAGCCATTTGCTTCTTGTATTGGGTGTTGGACATAATTGCAATGTGCAAACTAAACAAAATTGGTGTCAAAATTGAATCCTAGGGAATTTCATTACTCAATTTCTTCACTCTAGTTTTGAAATTTGCCATGGTTACTTGGAACGATCCGTTTGAGTATATTTTCTATAAGAGAGCTGGCTTTAGGCATGGGACTTTATGAAGAAGCTTGTAGAATAAAACGGTGTCTTCAGCCCGTGTTATAGATCGCCGATAAATATATAAAGACGATAGAAGTTTTTTATTTTTCTGGAAACATTGCTTCAAGAATAATGAAGAAATCACATCCTGTAGTGAATATACATACCTGGGAGTAATCTTCGATATAACGGGAAAAGACGATGAGGAAATAAAGAAAAGGGTTACACAAGCTAGAAGAACAATTGGCTGCCTAAATGGAATACTTTGGAGCTTCTGAAATAGGAATAAAGCGAAAATATAACATCTATGAGTCACTAATTAAAAGCAGTCTACTTTACGGAGCAGAAACTTGAGAATAACCGAGAACAACAGAAAAAAATTAGAAGCTGTAGAAATGGATGTGTTTAGAAGATCGTTAGGTATATCCCGCAGGGAAAGAGTTCGAAATGAGGAAGTAAGACGAAGAATTGGAATAGATGGTTACTTAACAACAGACATTGAGAGGAAACAGTTGATTTGGTATGGTCATGTTCAAAGAATGGAAGACACAAGACTACCCAAGAAGATTATGCAGTGGGTACCACCAAACCGCAAAAAACGAGGAAGACCCAAAAAGACATGGAAAGAAGGGGTAACTAAAGCAATGAGTACAAGAGATCTTAGAGACGGCCAATGGGATGATAGAAGGACGTGGAAGTTAGGCATCGGACAACGTCAAAAGACGTTCTAAAACCGATATATATATATATATATATATATATATTATATATATATATATATATATATATATATATATTGTTATGATTTTGTATCTTTGATTTTAATGTATTTACTTGAAACAATCACAAAAATATACTTTCTCGTTATCAATGTCCTAAAAAATAAACTTCTGATATTTCTTATGTTCAGTGAGTTCAAAGTTTTCTAGTTGTATTTATCGGGATAGGAAAAACAAAGGATAATAATAAAAAGTATAATACATAAAATACAGATATTTTTTATTTTATAAAAAAAAACAATTATTAAATTTGCCGTTATCTTTTCAATCAGCGAATATGCATGTAATGAAATTAATACAAAAAGAAAATTTTAATTCTTATTTTCTTCTTGAGACAAAACAATTTGAAACTAATTTAAATTTGGATACCTTTATAAACTTTTATCTTCCTTATATTTAAAAAATCTATTTTATTATGGAAACAAAACTTTAAAACATTTGATAAATGTAAAAAGGTCTAATCATGCTTTAAACTGGTAACAACAATGAGGTAAACAAATCGCATTTAAGATTTACACACCTTTCAACTTGAAAAAGGAAAATATCTGACCTTTCTTCCCTGGATTGTTTTAGGACCACACAAAGAATTGTCCACCTTCCACAGCAATGTGTTCTTCCACCTTGCGCCTCGGCTTCTTGTTTCAGTATCTGCTCCTTCAGCCAATTTAACTGACTTAATTTAACCTCCTGACTCAATTCTCCAACACTTAACACACGAAAATCACTTCTTCAAACATTCATATAACTTCTTCGTGACCCAAGGATCTCTTTTCTCACCTGGTGCCACAACTATTTAACACGTATTCCAGAAACTGCACACTTTAGATTCAAGGATTTCTTTACATCGACTTGCAATCTACTTCTTCCACAATTCTGCTAACAAGACTGGTAACTTTATCCACTTAACAATGCCGGCCTCCAACTCACGAACACACCGCCTGTCGAGACGCAACCTTTCTTTTCGATCACTCAAACATCACTGTCTTCTCGAACCAACAAAAACTCTATCAACCCTCGGTCTGTCGATTTCCCCTTCCAAAAAGATCGTCTCATCACAAAATCCAAATTTGTTTACCACACTTGTTGGAATGCTAATTACCGTTTTCAAGCAAGGAACTTTAATCTTTTAACAATGGTCATTTCCTTGTAAACAAATAATTTTTATACATTTCAAAGATTTTTGCCTTAGTCATAATAGAAGATTTATACAACACAATACCGGACTAATCCTTCAGGTAACAGCTTATTTTCTATAATGTACAAATGGTTTGTCAATAACTCGTTTAGAATGGCTTAGTTCTTTATAAGTCATAAAATTTCGGTACTAATCTATCTATTTACAAATATACAAACTTTCTATCTTAAAATTAATACATATTTTGTCTTCAGATTTCTTAAAAACTTACTTCCGATGGATTCCTTAATTATTTTTGTTCCTTCCGCGTTTGTGGAAGAAGAAGTATAATAAATCCCCGCCTTTGCATATGATAAAAATTACTGAATTATGTAGGGATTTTTCTCTTATGCAAACATTCTTTGTCTCTTATTCATAATATTTATAAACATCGTTGATATTATATATTCCCCTAATCTTGTCTGAATCCAAATGCTTCAAAACATAACTATTTATACCATTATCATTGTTTATTACGTAAGGACCCTCAAAAACAGGCATTAACTTTGCGCATACATTGCCAGGGATGTTGGACACTCGCAATGCTCTCACCATAACCTTCTCACCTTTTTGGAAAGTAACTGGTCTTCTTTTCCTATTTTGATCTTGTCTCTGGATATATTTTTCGTTTGCTCTCCGCAATCTCCTTTGCACATCTTCCATTATCTGTGTGTATTCCTTTTGTTTTATATCTTCCCATGGCCTTATCGGCATTATCCCTTTCATTATATATTCTGGGGTTTCTTTCGTTACGGTGCTTGGGATGGTATTTAAATACATTTCTACTTCGGACACTTTCCGATCCCATCGTCGATGTTGACCATCTGTTGTAATTCGAAGAAAT